CCCCAAAAAAAGAAAAAAATTGAAATGACAAAGTGCTTGATGTCACAACGCAGTGGAATCAGACACTCCTCAATTTCGTAGTGTATGAAATTAATGTTGTCATCTTGAAACGTTTTCATTTGTTTTGATTTTCATGAAAATAATACTCATCTACATTATAGTATGTAAGCACATTAACTAGATCTAACCCTGCATTCTCTACCTAGACATTGTTAACTGACGGATTACGTTTTTCTCGTCCAGATGCTTCCAGCCCTGTTCCCAGCAAATGTTGTGACGTCACGGAATGGCACCAGCGTCACCCCAAAACAACCCAGCAACAAATTACGACTAGGGGTCAAAGGTTATATCCCGCAGGCGAAGTACAAGGCGATGCTTCAGAACCCGCGATTTGGCCCCACGTCGGCCAAACTGGACAACAGCCTAAAGGACATGAACAGAGATGACGCTATTTTTAGGTTCTGGTCCTCCCCCGCCTACACCAGGGCTGCCACCCTGCTCGCAGTCTCTCAGGCGGCTAATCTAGACATTGACGACTTCAGGTTTAGCTGAGGACCCAGCAACTTTTAAAATGCTTTAAAAAGTATTAATAATTATAATGTAATAATTATTTTTCATTAATGAATCAATAGTTATTAACTGCTTTAGAAGGCGCAGGTTTTGGGGGCAGGGGAGTATGGTACTTTAAAAAAGAGGCACAAATTCACTATTCATGCAAACTTCGTAAACCTGTTTTCGTTTATCCTAACTTTTACTAAGGTAGGCAACAACATTCATAATGGAAAATAATTATGAAACATTCACGTTTTTGGGTTATGTGTGATGGTTAGAAATGTGCAGTAATATTTCCTTTGTTCTGATGCTAGTTTGACAAAGCCGTCCGCTACGCTCTCACACAGTTAACGACTTCTGATTCTTTGTCTTGTCTGAATTACGCAGCTTGCACTCGGTGCATTGCCCATAACTGATGTTTTATATTTCTGTAAAATTTTGAATAGTGGAATGTTGTTATGCTTTAAATGATGTAAAATTTTCACAACAAAATAGTTTGAATAAATTAAAAGGAATCTATGTACAGTAAAAAAAATAATTTAAAAAAATAGAGTATTGCAATTTGTGTGGCATCATGGTGAAGTTAGGCTCTCGTCAAAATAAAGGGAACGAAGAAACCGACATATTATATCCGCCAGTTGTTGCAAAGGGGGGGGGGGGTCATGAACTTTTAATTCAAGTTGAAAAACACATTTCTCTTTGGATCTTTTTGAAAAATGTTATCCAAAGGCACCAAATACAAATGCAAATTTTCAGTCTCCTTGGATACTCAAGCTTTGGAAGTCACC